AATCGATTTTGTCGAAAACCGGGTTTCCGTGAAAATTCACTTTTTTCCTTAATTTTTTGTTTGTTTTTCCTGCCGCTTTTGAAAATTATTGAGAATTTTTTACTTTTGAGCCATCAAAGTACCGATACTATTCACATTTCTACCAGAAAAGATGCTTGTTGAAAAAAATCTAAGCACTTTTACTCTCCCAAAATAACGTGATGAGAGAAACAAAAAAAATAAAAAATAAATTGTAAAATCAATGCATTCATCGCTCCGCTCGGAATTTGAAAGAAGTTAAAAATTTAAAATTGACATAACTTAAATTTTTCAACTCGTATACACCCAGGTTTAAATAACTACAAACTTTGTAACTGCTAACTTTGGATTTAAAAAAAATTTTAAGTTATAAATTAAAATTGTGTCTTATGAGTAATACCTTATAACGGGAATTTCCAAATTAAACCGTATAATGAATGTCTATTTAAAGTACCTACTCAAAAATAGGTTATAATTATAAAATTACCCTATCATCAGGGAGCAGATAAACGACAACGACGAGCGGCGTTTGTATATTATTTGATCTCTCGTATTTTGTGCATTTGCTCTCAGTAATAAAATATGTGTCTAAATAGGGGTAGCATATTTTTCATGAAATTAAATTTTTATTTGAAGTATAAAAAATAAATGTAAGCACCAAAAAAATATAAAAACAAAATTAATTACTTTAAACATCGACGCTTTCGAGCTTCGGTGAAATTCCTGATATTGCATGTGCATTGCGGAATAAATCAGATATACGACTGCACTAAGTCTGAATATATTGAGATTTGAAAAAAAACCGTACCGGTCGCTTCATATTTCTTGTTCATGTCTGCAGCTTTGCTAACTGAAATTTGAGATCGATTGCGTCTTTGCGACTACTTTGACAATCGCCACGGATTGCATTATAATTTATACTACGTCAACATCATAAAACCATAGATATTACAAATTTTTATATGAAGGAGGTCCGTGTTTGAGATTTGATCATTAAGATAATGAAATGACTAATGAGGTTAACAATAACCAAAATAGTTTATAATTTTAAAATTTAAATTACTTCAATATATAAAGTACCTATTATTTTAATTTTAATATTTATAATTAATAAAGGTGGTGTTTAAATATTTGAAGCACAAGCATATTTTTTTATGAGTTATTAAATAAAAATCTTACTGTAAATAAATGTTATTACTATTTTTTAAATTAAACATAAAGGTATTCAGTGCCTAATGCATCACATTTACCGTATACCGACTATACCAACTATAGTTTGTAAAATTCCAAGTTAAATCATTTTTTTGAATACTGTTTTAAAGTACGAAATTAATAATTAATATTTTATGTATTAATTTTGAATGCATTGGTTAGGTCTTAGGTACTTATGTATATTTTAAGCTATTCGAGAATATTTAAAATTTAAAATGTCCTCATTTAATTTCCGATGGATATTCAATAATCTGCAGAGCGACTTTCCCTGCTTTATAAAATAATTTGGTGTTTGATGTACGACGTCGTTACATTAATTCACCGTTTGACCACAAGCAGACAGCATAGTAATATTCATAATATATTACTTAACATTTATATGAACTAAAAATAAAAATTGTTGAATTTTGCGGGACATAAGAACTACCGTGTACTGTACTACTGTAGTTGGACTAGTATGTACAACACTATTTATATCTATATTTAATTGTATAAATATGTTATTATTCTGGACATGCCGTCGTCGTTTGTGCTAGCGTATTTTTTTGTGTTGCGCGCTCGG